TCCGACCACCTTGATGCTGTAAACAGAACCTAGATTCATCTGAAAATATGATGTCTTGCTATTCGTACGCCCAGGTTCACCGGCGATCACACCATTGAAGACGCTCCTATCTGTGATGCAGTATCAAGGGTAGCCGCAGCCATGGTCTCCAAGCTGAGAGTCCATGCTGTTGCAAATGACGTCGAACTGTTTGTGCAAACACTTGTTGTCTTGCAAACGATCCCAATTCTTGATTCATAGCTCGTGACGTGGCTGCACGATCCCTTAAGGACATGCGGGTAACATGCCTGTCTTCTCAGCTGCTAGTGATAGAGGGCCATTGAGGTCCAGCATGGCGTTTCATATTACCATTCTGAACAAATCGATTTCATATTATGCTAACAGTCTTTTGGATCTAGACACAGACGCGAGCAGCAATACTACGATACGATAAACCGCAATCCCGGTACGCTACAATTTGACCTTTATTAAAGTCAGAAACGGGCTGGTGAGCATTTCTGCTTCTTATACGAGGCATCACAACAACTTTTCACCAGGAAAAAACGTTCAAATGCAATTTGTGTATGAGAAACCGACTGAGCAATTTCCTCATTTAAACACATTGGAGGTGCCGCCACCGGCGCCTGCTTTGCCTGAATGCGTTGAAAATCTAACCGTTTGTAAATCACAGCACTTCTTACTGTCGTTTAAATTTCCGTCTGTAGCATCACACTTTCTTGGTGTAGCAATTTTAACGGCCAATAGTGTATTTTAGCTGATTCTGTAGAAACTTTTACAGCACTCAAACGTGTTTTTTTTATGTATAATTTTTTTAAAAATAAATCGCTGATGATGTTGAGTTAGCTTCTGTGGACTTCCGTTTCTTGGCTTGTTTTCGATTATATTCTTTTAAACGCTTTATCACATATTGCATCGTAGAACGGGACACTTATACTAATTTCTTAATGTTTCGAATTGATTCACTTTAATTGAAGTGAAGACAATTTTCGAACGGTCTTCATTGTCTCTTTGTGACTGAAAGTCATTTTTAGATAATACAATAATAAAAGAATGGAATATTTTAAAGAAAACAGACAAAGATTTACACAAATGTTTATTTGTACGTTGCCAGGATGCAAAAAGAAAAAGAAAAAAACAGTCGATATTTTTATTAAAAAAACTTATCTCAAAATGTTTTCGTGAGCTATGGCGCGTTTTTCCTCCGCCATTTAAAAAAATAAATTGAATTTCGTTTTAAATCCCATGGAGAACATATAAAACGAAATTGGACTATATTTTGGGAATTTTAATTCTAGGCTAAAGAAAGATTTCCACAACTTTTTTAAGTGTACAAAGACATTTGAGAGACACTGTATATCCATAGTGCTTAATATTGTAATTTTTAGCCTACATAATAACTAGAATAATATTTTGATATTAAGGAACAATAATTAATTACATAATCTTCACATTCATAATTTATCAAAACATATTTATCAAATGTGTTTGTAACCCCATAGCAATTGAAGAAACATTAATTTATAACCGAAAATTTTAATTGCTTCTTTTCTCTCTTGTCTTTAATTTCTTAACTTATTTAAATCGTTGGGACAATAATTGGTCAAGTATTTGCATACTAATGGATACACGAGCTATGTCAGATTTAAGAAAATCGGTTTAAGAGGACATGGTACGATTTACACAAAAATTTTTAATCTAATGATTTTCATAGTTTTTTTTTGGTTGCCTTCTATGTGTATGCATGATGTAAAACAGATTTTGCGCTCAAAATTTCATAAAAAGCTAACCATTTAATTTTTTAAAGGAAAAACTTGAAATTTATGAAGTGATTTATAATGCCACTCCTTCTACAAAAATTGACGTACACATATGAAAGTTGATTTACAAGTACCTCAAACTACGTGTAACAAAAGTTGGTATGGATTTTGCGATAACGTGATTAGTATTCGTACTGTACTTCTTTTTATCAATGCTTATTGAAAATTCCTTAAAAAATGTGTAAATTCTAAACTTAATTATTTTTTAAAAAAATAAGTATTGCTTTGATTGAAAAATGCATACCAACTTTTATTCCATTTACTATTAGCAACAAGTAAGAAAAATTTCCATCTATTAGGCACAATTGGAAAAAAAAAGTCTTAACATTTCAAACTAGTTATTTTATCTTTCTCTCTCCGAGATAAGTCAGTTTAAAATTTTCATTTGCCATTGGGATGTGAATAAAAACAAATGTAAAAGTTACCACAACTCTGCGTTTTTTTAACTTAGAGCTTTCAAATTTTGTGAGTTTGTAGAAAAGTATATAAAAAATAATTTAGGCTAAGAAAATTAGATTCGATTTTTTGTCCGATTTTTGTCAATTGAATCGTACTGTGTCCTCTTAACAAAAAAATAAAACAAAAAACCCAGAAATTATAATAAGTGAAATAATAAACGCACAGAACACACACATTACATATTAAAAAATAATTATTATTACTTTTTAAGATGAATTTAAATATTTTATATTTAGATTTTATATTATCATAACTTACTGTTTTTCATTTTATGTTAACTAACTGTATTTTTTGAATATTTTTGATGATTCTAAGAATCATTTTAGTGTTAACTTTTAAAATTATAATTATTAATATTTAAAATAATACTTGTAAATCTGTAAACGAATTTTTTTTTTGTAACTTTTTTGCTTTGCCGGAGGGGCAACATTCCGAATATTGACATTAGCTTACTTGCAACGTTTTACTTTAGCGGTACTTAAGCCTAAAGAATAAAAAGTGTTCTATTAATTTTTATGCAATTTTCCTATTTTCAAACATTCATAATAAAATAAATACAATTGTTTTGTATACAATTCATCTTTAATATAGTTTTAAAACCATATAAAATAAATGCATTACTTAAAAAAGTTATTATTCATTTTTTTTAAAAAAAACTTAATATCTGTTCATTTTTTTTATCTTACCCATCAAAAATAAATCTGCTATGAAAACAAGAAAAGAAAGACTTTGTTCAAGAATACATTGTATTTTCAACTCTTTAAATAAAAAAAATATTATTTTATATTAATACTAAGGAATTTTTCAGCATTTTCTAATTTTAAGTCTACAAATAATTTTAAACGTACATTATTTTATAACCAGTAATTTTAAGCATACACTACCCCATGCGTCCTTAAATTTAATTACTGATAAAATCTGTTAATTTTGTTTGAGATTTTTGAAAAATTACGCTACTTTCATTGCTCTCGGAGAGTTAGACAACTGGTAAAACTGATTCAAAGCCACTGATCCCAATAAAGTGTTTTAAAAGAGAAAATAATTTGAAATGTCCAGAAATATTTAAAACAGGCAGAAAAAAACTCGAATAACACAAGAGAAAAAGTTCGTTGTATAGAAAAGGCACTTCGCTATCTGGATGTTATTTTACGAAAAAAATATTAAAATGTTCTTGGTCCCAGGAAAAATTCTTAAAATAGAGGCTCGTTATATGGAGGTTCGACTGTACATTCTAATTTAGTCAAAAGTAATTTTAATATGGTGTATTTAATTTGTAGACAATTTTCCTTTCTTTTTGAAACATTTGATTCATTTTATCTGTTTTAAATCTCCCCCCTCCCCCTTACCATGCTTAATGTTATCATCCCATTAAAAATTTATTCATCTTTAAATATTGTGGTTGTGCTGTTTATTCTAATTACAGTAGAGCGTCGTTTATTCGAATCAATTGGGACCGTACACTGTGCGGATAAGCGATTGTTAGGATAACCGAAAACCGAATGCAACAAGACACTATACGAATATTGAAAATCATCACATGCGGGAAACGTGCTAGAAGAAAAAGCAAAATAGGTGCAAAATGTCGTAATTTTACCTTTATTGTGGAAAATAATCACTTATTTTTCATTGTACAGTTGTACACCTTAGTTCTTCGCTGCAAGGTCTCTGATTTTCTTCAACAGCAGTAGTTGAGTAGGACAGCACTCTGATTATCGTTCGTACCACTCCATAGCTGTCTTTAACGCAGAAAAACGCATCAGCATTTGATGGACCCTTGCTACTTTCGTTGTTGTTGTTGTCCTCGTCTGCATCCGTTTCATTGTCGACAAGGTCGAATTCTTCTTGCACGGAAGTCACAATCACGTCATCATTTAACATTTGAAATCCACAGTCTTCTGCATCGCTCCACTTTCTCCTTTCGCGAAACGGTTCAACATTTCAAGTTTTGTCTCTATGTTCAAGACGTTGCGCTTCCGTTTTGAATTCGAAGTCATAGCAGTTCACATTTCAACAAAAGTATACACCCCCTCACTTGTAAACAAACTGACCTAATATTCCGCGCAGATTTTTACCAAATCACACTACTAAAATTCCCCAAATATCCCTCACCTTGGGTTTTCCCATCACGTTTGGCCTCACGTGAAACAACTGTTGAGCATTGCACTGTTCAAAAACATATTCATAAACAGTACATGCAGTTAACAAAAAAAAAAAAAAAAACTGGTTCGGATAGCTGACGCTTCGGATAATAAATGTTCGGATAAACGATGCTCTACTGTATGTGGAATATTGTTTCATATTAATGAAGAGTCAATGAGGTTGAGAGAATTCTCTGTGCCTATTAACTGCTTTGTGGGAGTAACCTCTGTTACTACTTTGCAGGACTAGTTAAAAATTTATAATAATTATTATTTTTTTATTTTTGCATGAAATGGTTCTTTTTCAATTCCTACTATAGTTTACACTCTCCCCATATATATTTATTTATATATACATATGTCTTAGTCAAATTTTCAATCGTTAGTAAATTGCTTTTTATTCATCCACTCAAGTTTAAATACATTTTCTTAAACTTGTAGTGGGGAACACTTGATGTTTATACAGTTTTTTCAAATATTAATTCATTAACAAAATGTAATTAATTAATAAATAGTAACAAACAAAAATACAACACCATACAACAATAGTCAAACATCATAAATTAAAAGGAAAATCGCTCGCTGTGTCCCTGTAGCGTAATAAATATCGCGTTGGACTTCTAATCGAAGAGTCGTGGGCTCGAATCCTACCTGGGATGGTCAAATTTCTGAGAATGTGATTTATGATTGAAAAAAAGTAACAAGCAAAAATAATAGTCCTACACCATATACAGAAAGGAAAATCGCGTTCTATTTTGCCACTCAATACTGGGATTCTGTCATGTGTATATACATATTTATATTAATTGTAATTAATTAATAAAAACTAATTAAAATAATATTTTTTTTTGTTGACCAAAGTAGGAATTGACTTTTTTTTTCATATTACTTGTTCGAAATCAGTTTTCAATACTTGTTACAGATTATTTGCTACAATATATGAAAGGAAGTTAATAGTATATCACACACACACACACACATTATATTTTCGCTTAGGGAAAATTTCAGAATTACTAACAAATACAATAAAAACAAAACATTTAATGGCGAGTGTACTATTTTTCCACTCTTTTTATAAAACATTTTTAACATACTGCAGAAGTTAGTACAATTTTCATATTATACATAAGTTTAAGACTTTCGTACACTTCGATGTTTCACCAAAATAATTTCATTTTGTTCAAATGAAGAGATAGCTTTAAAAAAATTCTAAGAAACTAACATTTAATTCTATCCCCCACCCAGCAATATTTTGTCAAAACTACAAAACTACAAAAAAAAAAAAAAAAAAAAAAAAAACCATACATTTTTAAGCGAAATTAGATTATGACAAGATTTTTTTGAAAAAATTCTGTTAGCCGTTTAGAAACTTAAGAAATTTGTAGTTTTTTGTAAAAAGTTAGATAAATATGATAGAAGCAATTGAACTAATAGTTTATCTTTAATCCACGTAATATCCCATTGAATTTGTAATTGATCTTTAATCTGTATATTATCCCGAAAATTTCACTTCGCTGTCTTCACCAGAGTCACAATGTGCGATAAAATACACAGATGCGCATAAAAATGTTTAAACAAAGGCCTACTTTACAAACTAATTTAAGCAAAAATTATCCGGTTATTGTTTAAAGGCCGAACACATAATAGCGTTTTTTTAGTATAAATACTTAAGTCGAAACGCGTATATTTGCCAGCATTTTAGAAAAAGAACTGTGAATCTAAGTAACTGCCATTTTTTCAATTCCTTTTTAAAAAATGAAAGTTATTTATGCTGTTTTTATCGTTTGCTTTATTGTTGCAGTAAGTAAAAAAGTTTTTGAACTATATCATTTATTTTTATAGCTTATTTTAAAGATTTTATATTCTACTTTGGATTTATATTACTTATTAATCAGTTTTCTGAAGGTCTGAAGTTTAGGTGGGAAGCTCGACCTATCATTGAGTACTAAATGGAGATAATTTAAGAATAAAATTGTAAAAGAAAAATATTATAATAAAAGAGAGCATAGTTAGGAATTAATGAAAAGCAGGATCAAAATTAGAAGTGATCTGGGTCTGTGGAAATTAAAATCAGGAGCATATTTTTCGATGCTAGTGATCGCTTTATTGTCAGAGTTTTGAAGAAGAGTATTGAAAAAGAAGAGTATTGAAGAAGTTGGTACCATTTCTCCTGATCATTTGTCTAATAGTGGGTATTTTACTAGCAGCTCTGAGGTCCACGTATAGCGTGGAGTCGACGCGTAGCCACAATAATTTATTTTGTGTTATTTATTCTTTATCTACGAAATGTGTGTTTGTTATTACATGTCATAATTGTTATGCAATTCATTAGCTCATAGAAATGCATGAGCAAGAGCATGACATTAGAGAACTTGTGTCTTTAGGCTTAGTTCATTCAGAAGATCGAATAGTGGTTTGGAAATTGGCAGAAAGCTTCAGTTTAATTGAAAAAGAATTACAAATTTTAAAAAATTTAGATTCCTGCAAACTGCGTATTTTTTCAACCAAACAAGGAATTAAAAAAAAAAAAAATGATTAGCTTGCTACGAGAAAATTTCGCGGGAGAAAAAAAAATATATTTGTACCATGAGACTACTTTGTTAGATTTTATGAAACTCTCTACATTAAAATAATTTCGGTTTGTAATTTTGTATTTGTGTTGTATAAGGTTTTATTAAACATTTTTTTCTAAATTATTACTTTGTTTCGTCTCCGGCCCCAACTAAAAATATATATTTATATGCGCTGAATTAATTATGCAGGCAATAATTATTAATTATAAGGCAATGTTTCTCAAACTGTGGGGCGTGATAACTCCACGAAGAGGACGCGAGCATATTGAAAAGTCGAAAAGAAAGATTATTTAGAATATTATTAATTTAATGAAAGTAAGCAAACAAAATACATTCTGACACAATAAAAAAATAAAATACACTTTTACACTGATATAATACACTTATAAATATATCAGTATTGCACAATGTATTTTGTAATTAAGTTAGCAATACTAAGTTAAGAACAACGTTAATAATTACCAATTACCCACGGGGTTGTCATATAGAAAATTATATACAAAAACTTACTTTGATAATTTAACACTTACCTTGACAATTTGTAAGGTTTATAATTAATCCCTTAACTGCCGATTAAAAGTTACGCGATTCACTCTCCAATGCCAACAGTTTTCCAAGTAGGCGGGCGTATGTGATGTATTGGAGGGGGAAGGAATAAAGAGACAAAAATAATCTGAAATAAGTAAATCCTTCACAAACATTGTCAAGGTTCATTTATTGCTGCATTCCAAAGCCTTCGGAATAATTTTATGGATAGCAGTGCAGAGAAAAGATCGTACTTCGGAAAGACGTATATATACGTTCGGGGAAATTAACGCTTTGGCTGAGCGAGATATTTATATACGCTTTTGGCACTTAACAGGTTAAAGTTGTATCGTAGTTTTAGAATCAAAGTATAGTATTATTGTATTCAATACATTTTTATTGTATGAGGGAGACGCGGTGAAAGTTATGATTGAATATTGGGTCGCGATTGTGGAACTTTGAGAAGCACTGTCCTAGAGTGACGAGAACGAGACTCAACCATGACTCAAGACGTCCCTGGCTTATTATGCAATGACGAAATCAGAATCAGATATTTAAATACTTTATCTACCAAATAAATGCCTTCTTCTTGGTATTATTCGCTTTTAAGAGCTAAAGGCGGATTTAATAATTACAGTCAAGCAAAGAAAATCTTCGACATTTCGTTGAATAAATTTGTTTTAAACATCCTATTGGATTTGTAATGGATTAAAATGTCAATATGAAATAACTGTGTGTACCTAGGATATAAAAAATTATATGTATTATTCAAATATTCCTGAGTTTAAAAATAATTCTTTAAACTGCATTGTCAAACTGGATAAAGATGGCAC